ATTTACTCATTATACAGAGTTGAGTTGTAAGTTAGTTGAACTTGTAAAGAGATTGCAGCAAATGTAGTTTATAAGCAGCCAGTTGTAGAGTCAGCTGTTAGGAAGGATCAGACATCATTAAAGTGTGTCATTATAGTGTTGAACATCTTTTCAACAGATGTTCAGTAGGTAGGGAATAATAAGAGTCTTATTATTGTGTGTACGGAGTTCTGAGCAGTAAATAAAGACTATATATATGATTCTAAATAAAACATTCTACTATTCCTAAATTCACAGGGCCCTCCAGGAGAACCTGGACCCCCAGGCCCCCCTGGTCCCCCAGGACCTCCCATGGCTGCTGTGGATGACCTCTTTGACGGCCCTCTGGATTATGACTCCGGCCCCCCTCCTCCTCCTGAGTTCAGTGAGGATGAGGCACTGCCCAACAGCAACTCCTCCACCATAGTGCCTGTGGACCCCGGCGTTCAGGCCACCCTGAAGGCCCTCAGCAGCCAGATCGATAGCATGAAGAGCCCTGACGGTAGCAGGAAGCATCCTGCCAGGACCTGCGACGACCTTAAGAGATGCTACCCAATGAAGAAGAGTGGTGAGTGTCAGTGACAAGTCATTGAGTGAGAGGAGTGTTTGGGAAGATTTTACACTAAGGTAATAAGTGACAGGAAATCTATATTCTACACTTACTATGTACAAAACAGAACTGAAATACAGTCCTTTGTCTTCTAGTTTATTACACTCTTCAGTGTTGTTTTGACTTTAACATGATAAATGTAGAAATACTGTCGGGACATGATGTCTCTAAACCTGCTTGTTTGCAATACAGCTGACTTATTTTACCATCACAGTCTTTGCAGCTGTAGAATAAATCAGCAATGTGGTCAAAAGCCACATGTCCATAATTCCTGCTCATTCTGTTGCGTAGGTGAGTACTGGGTGGATCCAAACCAAGGCAGTGTGGAGGATGCCATCAAAGTGCACTGCAACATGGACACCGGAGAGACCTGCATCTCTGCCAACCCATCCAGCATACCTCGTAAAGTGTGGTGGAGCTCTTCCAGGAACAAACCTGTTTGGTTCGGAGCTGACATCAACAGTGGAACACATGTGAGCAGTTACATTTTGATGATGGGAGAGAGAGGGAAGCAGGGCTTTGTACAGGGAAGACTTTATAGGACAAAAAGTTGTAAAAAAAAAAAAAATCATCAATCAACCATGTTTGGGGGCAACAACCAGTGAAACTCATGTTGTATTTTTTATTAGTTCAACTCGGCTTACTGGTGGATTTCTGCGAGGCTCTGTATTGATCACTGTATTTCTTTCTCTAGTTCACGTATGGCAACAAGGATCAGCCGATAAACTCCGTCACAGTTCAGATGACATTCATCCGCCTGCTCTCCAAAGAAGCATCTCAGACCATCACCTACCACTGCAAGAACTCTGTGGGCTACAAGGACGAGAAGGCGGGCAACTTAAAGAAAGCTGTCATCCTCAAGGGCTCCAATGATCTGGAGCTCAAAGCAGAGGGAAACAACCGCTTCAGATACACAGTGGTGGAGGACACCTGCTCAGTAAGTTCACACATTTCAACAGTGGCTGTTTAGTCAATGTGAACTCTAGCAAAGGACACTGTAAAGCAAACGTTGCGTCTGTTCATCGGTTTAGCAACTGTTTTGGTTCACTCTCATTGTTCTCATTAGCATTGTATCCAGTCACAGCAGTTCGCTGTTCTTAGCAAAAGATCTGATAAATACCAGAGGGCAGAAAGACAGATTTAGTGACCAGCTGGGAACAAGTTGCAGCATTCAGCAGCTACAGAGCCGGGTATTTCCCCCAAGAGTGGGTGGAGACCAAAAACAGAGCTTTAATAAGACTAAATGTTGTACTTGCATTTTTTAATTATTATTTTTTTACATTGTTGTGCTGCCCCCTAGTGGCTGAAAATTGAAGCTAAGAATCTGTAAGAAGTATTAAATAGTGCATTTGCAGGGGACTCTTTACAGTCATAGATTATTACACATTTGGTGCTCCAGTGAGCATTTTGGCGACATGATGGTGTATGTGGCATTGAGTCAAAACAAACTACAGTGTGTGTGTGTGTTCATGATAATGATGGAAAATGTCATCCAGCGCCACAGTGTGTCTCAGTGATGTGTTTTTAATAGTTTTTGGACAGCAGCGGAGCTCTGTGGCACAGAGGAATGAGATACATCAGATTGCTGCTACATAGGCAGTACTTGTTAGTTGGATTCATTAATGGTCGGTTTGGGTCTTTTATGTTATTTATGGACAATAAGAAAAATAGAAAACAAAGTTCAAACTTATTTGCACAGATGAAATAAATACAGTATGGCAGCACCCAGCTGCTCCTGAGCATTAAAATACAGTTTAGCTCTTCACTATAGAGAACTATTAAGTTAATCACTGAACTTCTGTTTGTCAATCTTTTACAGCAAGCAAATGGCAACTGGGGCAAGACAGTGTTTGAGTACAGGACACAGAAAACAGCAAGACTTCCTATTGTGGATATGGCCCCTGTGGACATTGGTGGCGCAGATCAAGAGTTCGGCATCGACATCGGGCCAGTGTGCTTCTTGTAAAATCATCAACAGGGAAGCATCGAGGAGAATCCTGAGACTATTGAACTGACAGCTGACACGATCAGCCACGTTGTACATACGAGTACTGAGGACTATTCTGGCCCTGTGGCAAGATATTTATTGTGCCTTTCGACCCAGTTCAAGACATCGAAGATTTGTAAGTTAGAATGAATGTTTGGAATTTGCTTTAAAAAGAAAATTGCTAAAAATCAGAATCATTCCTCTGTCTTCTTGTGTGTTTGACTCCAAACGTGATGATGATCTGAGGCCCACTATTGTGTAGTTTGATCCAAAGATATTACCCTCTAATTTTATTTCAGAAAACATTGCCAAAGATTTATGAATATGAAAGCTTTAAAATGGTAATTGTAACTGCTGTTAATAGGCCCAGAAAAATCCCACTGAAGCTACGTCAAATGTCCCTCCACTACTATTTTATACAGATTTGTCTATTCATTTTTTGTTTAAATTGTGTGCATATACAACAACATTGTGGTGCTATTGAGGAAACAAATACAGCTTGTGATGCGTTCACAGGCGCAGGTATTTTCTCAAGACAGTTTTGATGAACAAATGTCTGTATCCAGTTATTTGAAACTCTGTACTGACCACGTAGAACATTAAAAGACACATTAAGACTGTCGATTCCTCAGTGTTAGCTACCTCGTCACCGAAACTGAGAAACGATGACAATACATGTAAATCTTTTTTTCACAGGTGCTGTTTTGTAAGTAGTGTGATCCTTGTGCACTTCTCCCGGCTGCACGGTACAGGGCAGGGTGTGGGGGTACCAATAAAGATCTTTCTGTCAACGACGGAGAGACGAATGAGGTGTCGTGTGAGTGGTGTGTGGTGATTTGTAACATTTTTATTTTCCCTTCAGTTTCAATATCGTAAACGGTAGCACAGAATATTCTATTTTTTATGCATGTCAGTTCCCCCTTTTCAGTATCCTGGACTTTATATGCTCTTGAAATCCTTTTTATTATCAGTTTTATAGAATAAGGTGGCTGTGAGTGCCTGTTTGCTTTGTATTTCTTGCTATGCAACAAATTAAACAAACTGCTTGTTTATCCCCCCAAGCTCCTGTCATATTAATTCAGGTATAGTTAGGTCCTCTACGTTTGTCATTTTGCACACAAGCTCATTTTTAGACAAACTCTGTAGTTAAACGATGTATTTAACATAATGTTCACAGTTGTTTCTAATGTAAGCTGTTTGTTTTAATTTTTCATGAATGTGCCTTCAAGTAATTCTATTGTGACCATTTGGTTCGTATTTGAGTATATTTATTAGAGATTTGTAACTTTTGCGAGGCTAGACTGCCTGCTAACACCCCAGCGGCAGAGAGGAAGAGAACGAGGAGGAGGTGGAGGAGGAGGAGGAAGGGGCTTTCCACACTGGAAGCAGATGCATTTCATCTTTGAAAATAAATATTGAAAATACTTCTCTCTGCCTGTTCTTGTTTTAGAAGAGTTCATTTGGTCCTTTAAAAACTTTGTATCATTACAGAATCGTTTCAGCCTCGAGGGGCTGTGAAATCCTGAGGCGAAAAACCTGAAAAATAGAGATGAAGGTAAAATGTGATGTTGGACCACAAAATGAACACAGATGTAAATGAAGAAGTAGGACAACGGCAGAGGGAACTGCTCCTGAGACTTACTCACTATTGCAAGTCACACAAGTATCTACAGCAAGACTACGAATCTATAGCCATCAGACTGTTTAAAATAATGGATGTAGACATCACTCACTGGTTTGTGGACTCCTAGTTTGAAGCCTCGAGTTTATCTTTTTGGCCGTCGCCATCTTGGATTTTTGGAGCCAGAATTGGACTGTGCTTGGACGAGAGGGTGGAGCTGTGGAGGAGCAAGGGGTGCATCTGACTCCAGACAGACACCCCCTTAATTATGCCTAACTTTAGTCCTTGATAAAATGTAAACAGGTAAGTTATAAAAAAATTTGCTATAGAGACCAAAACTGTTTTTGCACCAGGCTGTAAACGTGTAATTCTGCTGTAAAGTTGGGTATTTTAACATGGGGGTCTATGGGGATTGACTTGCTCTTTAAGGCAGCCTCAAGTGGCCATTAGAGGAACTGCAGTTTATGGAACTTCCGTGTCAGCTTTGTTTTATTTTTTTAGCCCTGGAGGTTGCTGCTTGATAAACATGCTATGGACCTTTTCCACTGTGACTTTTCACTGCGCTGATTGCCCTTCAATCATCAATTTAGACAAACCGTGCCACGCCAAGCTGTGCCAGAGATGGAACTTCTCCAGAGAAGGTCCAAACGTTGGGCTACCTGCTCTCAAGCGGTTAGCAGTGACACTTCACTGACCACAGCCAACCTCTGACAGCCCTGCTTCTCCCCCTCAAACAAGCTGTGTGTATTGCAACTCACCTCTGTCAGTGCAGGAGACCAGAGACAAAGACGTTTTAGTAGTCTCTGTGTGTTCAGCTCTCAGTAGTTGCACGTTCTGACTGAATTTCTAGCCCCGTTTGGATAGGAATTGTGCAAATTTGCAGGAAAGCCCAGTCTTCATTCAGCATTGGCAGTATAAAAACACAGGGAGTGCGGCAAAATGCGCCTACCTACTTTTGTTTATACAGAATGCGCCCTTTTCGGGGCAATGGGGGCGTGATCAAGTAACAAAACGTGTAGCTCAGCGTGTGACGTAAACAGTGACGTGGGAAGGAAGCCGCTGCTGGTCAGTCTTTCGGCGATTCTCTCGTAAATCGGCCCGTTCTTCACCACCCCCGTCATCTGATGGTTAATGGCCTCTTCGTTTGCGAGGGTAAGCAGGGCGTGCAATTCCTTGTCTCCCCAGTTGCTCACCTTTACAGTTTGCTACTAGCTGCTCGCTAATTCCTGCTATCAGCTGTTTCCTGTTTATCCACCGCCAGGGGGTCGCACATCAACAGCTCCTCCCACAAGTCATCAACAGCCCCTCCCGTGGCGGAAGGCCGCCTCGGTCTTTTTAAATTAAAACGGTTTCGCCAATATGTCTACCCTATGAGGCGGAAAATTGGGCACCTCGGATCAACTTGCCAATCCAGCTCTGTGTGTCTAAACGCTCGCAGCTTGCCAGCAAAAGGCCCAACAGTCGCCAAAAATCTGGCAGTGTAAAAGGGGCTTCTGTAGTTTGGAGTTTAGTTTCTCCCCTGCGTCCTGTTTTTACTTTAGATATTTGCTTCATTTCACTGTCATGTTCACTTTCAGCCATATTAGAAGTTCCACTAAGTTGCTCCTTGAAAACTCAACATTTCCTTATTTTGCTGCCTCATAATAAAGGTTTAGCCATGGATCAGCCAACTGCTTTTAAAGTCATCACTCAAGACAGTTAAAGACACACCGTCATGCAGGTAGCCCTGTTGTAATGGAAATGCAAATCCCTGTTGCGCTGGGCTGACGGCCCAAAACAAACCAAGCCAAGCCAGCACATGACTGTCAAAAAGGGGTACTAGCATTGTGAGGTTGTGCTTACAGCAATGCTTTGAACTAATCATAACGTCAGCATGCTAACATGTTTGTTAGGTAACATTTGCCCACGTAGCCATCTTAGTTTATTGATAGCTTGTAAACATTTGCTAATGAGCACTTAACAAAAAGTATTGGAGCACAGAAATTTCTTTAGTAGTAATGTTTACGATGGTCATCATCTTAAATAAGCATGTTAGCATGCTAACATTTTGTAATTTATCCGCAAACACAAAGTAGAGCTGATACTGATGGGACTGTCATTAGTTTTGCACATATTTAGTCATTCACAGTGGACACAGAAAATATTCGACCTGTCCATGGCAAGTCAGGGGATATGACAATTCATCTTGTGGGGAACAGAGATAAATGTTAAATTCCATAGCAATACATCCAATAGTTGTCAAGATAAATTTATCATCCTCATGGCATCTATTTTACAGAAGGAAGGAAAGCTCTAACCTGCTGGTGGTGCCAGAGGAAAAATAATGGGATCACCAACTTCAAGTTGGGTTCATCATCTGGGAACTATGAATTTCGTGCATCGTAAAGGTACAGTGTGTAGGATTGAAGAGGATCTATCGGTAGTAATGGAACATAATATTCATGACTATGTTTACATTAGTGTATAATCACCTGAAACATATTGTTGTTTTTGTTAGCAGAGAATGAGCCCTTCATATCTACATAGAGAGAGCGTCCTCTTGCACGGAGCCCGCCATGCTGAACCGACGTTTTTCTACAGTAGCCCACAACAGACAAAACAAACACTGACTCCAGATGGGGCTTTTCACATTTTCCATTCCCTGAAGGCCACCATAGATCCCTCCACAGGCCTGGAAAGGGAGGGGTGAGGGGAGGGGGCTCAGTTGGTTGCAGTCTGCAGCCTTATCACCAGATGCCACTAAATCCATAGCACACACTGCTACTTTTAGATGTCTCAATCTTGACCAAAGTGGTGGACGGATCAACCACATCACCATGCTGGCAAAATCTTTGAATGGAAGGAAAACATTTAAAACACAAAAATACACAACATCTAAATAAAGTCATACAAATAACATTAAATGATAGAATCAGTGAGCAGCATTTGTTTTTCCAGTAAGATTTTCTTTAATATCGGTAACAGCAAAGTCAATGCAACCAAAAGTAAAATAATGGAAGAGTTACTGTATATGGACAGAGGCTGTCCAAAAAAGTGCCTTCTGGTGCAAGAAAAGAGATTAAAAAGATGAAAAAGTAAAAAATATGACAAGTTAATACTGAAACGGCAACTCATACTTATGAAATGCAAACAAAAAATAAACAAAAACAATTCATGTCCAAAACAAATGATGGAAAGGTCACTAAGCCAAAAAAATATCAGACTGGATTATTAGCTACATAATGTGTGATTTAATGGTGTGTAAAGTAAGCTATGTGATGTTACGGGCAAGCTGATAGTTTGCATTAACGATACAGATTCCATTTAATTTCTTTGCCAGCTTGTGTTTGGCATACAAACAGGAATGTGTTAACAATACAGAATTCAAATGGTGCATACACACAAACGGTCTCATATGAAAATTCTGCCACAGAGTGTACCATTGGACATATTCCGATATTTACATCTCTCATTGCCTGTGCAAGCAAAAGTACTCTCTCTTTTTTTTTTTTTTTTACAAAAATAGTTCTTTTCTATAATGGATCTGGGTTTACCTTGAAATATCGAAAAACCAATCTAAATGCAAATGCATATAAACATCAAGATGAAAACTGTGACATCTTGACTCAACCCTAGCAGTGGATTTTGGCACTTCTTCATACAAACGAGTTAAAAGTACGCAACAAAGAGCATCTTCTTGGCATCAGCAGCGGCTGTCGAGCGGGTCCAGAGAGAAGACGGTGCCCTCTAAGGTTAGTCCCATTTTGAACCCCTCCTGGAAGACAAGCCAGACAACAGCTGTGACGCTCAGTGACCACGGACGCCGACACGCTCTCTGTGAGATTACATGTCCCAATTTAGTCAACAAACAGGAGGTTGGAGTCATGTTTAGATTAGGGCCAATGGGAGACAAGTTAATAAACCTCAGAGGGTGGAAGAAAATGAAATGCTAAACAAAACAGAGATTACAGCACTGTTGTTCCGTCATGCTTGGCCATGCGTTATGTACAAGACCATAAACTCAAGCAGAAACAAAAAGGCATGCAGCCAATGGGAGCAACAGTGGTGAAACACTTTTTTTTAATCACAGGAAAAAGTCAAAAGCTTTTTTTTAAACTTTGCAAACTGCAAATGGTAAAATATACTTGTAACTGTTTTAATGTGTTCTTTATATCGATGCATTTTTCTATATAAAACATGACATCTGTTCCAAAATCTATAGCACACTCCCGAGCAATTATTGGCAGAAAATCAACATCTTGGATGATAAAACGTGTTTGCTGGCAGTAATTAATAAGCGACAGTCTGAGACAAGAGCAGCTCATTAACTACAGAGCAAGAGAGCTGAGGAAACAAAGTGCTAATTAAAGACAGTGGGGCCAAAGCACAATAAACTGAATCTCTACGGAGAGAACGATGAACATTTCAGGGAAGGTGGAAGAGGTAAATTAAATCACACAGTGTGTGAGAGCATGCAGCATCCTCCAAAGCATGCAAGACACAACCACAGGCACAGCACAGAAGCAGAGCAAGGAGTACCAACCATCTCTGACGCTACAAGTGGAAAGGCAATGCATTCAGAAAGAGGTAGAAATGGAAAGAAAAGGTTAAACAAAACTGAAGTGTCAGTGCAATACCGCCTCCTACTGGCAACACCCTGCTAAAACGTAAAGCAGATTTTTTTGCAAACAGATAAACAGAAGTTGCAGCTGACCTTTAGTTCCATAAATCATTATTTTCCAGTGATACTGTTATCCAAAACCTTCACACACAGAATGACTGCCTGCTGTCAATGTGGCATAAACTGTATTTGTAATGTACTTTTCTGATTTCATGCCACCTCAATCTGCGCAGTGGCTCTCAAACTTCATCTCATCTAAACTTTGCAAGGACAAAAATGGCACACTCCCAAACACCACAGTAAACCAGGTTAACTGTTTTCAACCATAACCATACTGTGATATTAGCACATTGTAGGAAGGAATCAATCAATCTTTTATTAATAACTTCATGTAAGTTGTTTTAATTTAAGTCAACTTAAATGTTTTTTTTTTTTCAGGCTGTTTTAGAACATGTCATCGTGTGACTTCAAATGATGAGTTAAATGAAGGTACTGATCACTTAACTCAGGCATGTCCAAAGGCTGGCGCGGGGCCAATCGTGGCCCCAGAGCTGATGATAAATGGCCTGCTGCCACAAAGTTCACTTCGTGGCTTTTCTTCATTCACCTCACGCTGGCAGGACTGTCATACAGTTTGTTGACATGCACAAAGTGGGAGCGACGCAGGTGGAACTAATGTGCTTTCATAAACACTCAGTAAACAAGCAAAGGTATGATTACCAAACCATAGACACTTCCTGCTAGGTAGCAGACATGGCCACAGCAAAGAAGCATTAAGTCGTCAGCAAGGGCTGCTGCTTTTAGGAGCGGTGGAAAGTTGAATACTTTTTTTCACTGAAAGATGAGACAGTTGTGTTTGTCTCATTTGTGTGTTATTTTTTTTCAATAACCCATATGATGCGAGAAGCAGCTGGCCCCTAGGTATTTTCACATTATCTAATCTGGCCCCTATTCAAAATAAGCTTGGACACCTCTGACTTTGTGAGATGGAGTTTCTAAAGAGGAGTTAAAACTCTCCAGCCATGCTTTATCTGTGTAGTTTGAAGAAAACAGACATGATGAAAACTTGCTGAGTTAAGTTTCTTCTCATAATGATGTAAACAATGCAAACCATGATGGGGGCTAGATCCAGTCTTTATCCTTATATATGATTTCACAAAGTTACTGAGAGTACACACGTTGCCTTTGGATGAACTCTGGTACAAAGTGGTTCCAACGGGAGCAGCCAAAGCTATAAAGTCTTTATGTCCAGTGAAAAATGACTCTTAAAATGGAGAAAATGTAAATGGAAAACAGAACTGACCGTACTGTATTAATTACTTACTGGTATTACTGGTAATTTTACTTTATAAAAACAACTTTAGTGTAACTCAGTTAACTTTTGAAGGCAGCATGCAACTCTTGTTTTTCAGTTGGACTCATTTATAATGTTTTACAGTGTAACAAAGTGTGTCCAGTTTAAAGTTACTTCATAAAAATAATATTACCAACTGGAATTACAGCCTTGTGGTCATATCCCTCGGCTAACGAGTCAGTCAAGTTGCAGTTGAAGTTTACATCCATGTCTGTGAAAACACGGCTGCTTCATAAACATCTTACCCGCAGCAGCACAGAGGATCTATACAATCACCAATTCAGTCTCTGACCAAATGTGCGCCCTTCTGTCCTGAGTTATGATGCTGAATAATGGCCAGAAAAGTGTTTTTGTAGAAATCATGGTGTCACAGTGAAGTTGACCTTTGACCTTTTGGATATAAAATGTCATTACTTCATCATTTTGATCTATTAGACAATTGTGTAAAAAATTGTCATAATTAGTGTGCGAATTCTTGAGTTATGGTCAAAAAACATGTTTTGTGAGGACACAGTGATCTTTGACTACCAAAACTGAATCAGTTCATCCTTGAGTCCAAGTGGATGTTTGCGCCAAATTTTAAGACATGCCCTTAAGATTCTTGAGATATCACGTTCACAAGAATAACACAGATGCAAGGTCACAGTGACCTTTGACCACCAAAATCTGAGTATATTGCAAAATCCAAGTGGACGTTTGTGCCTAATTTGAAGAAATTCCATCAAAGCTTTGAGATATTGCACTAACGAGAATGGGACTGATGTAAGTACGAACATACGTACATATGGAAGTACGGACAGCCCAAACACATAATGCCTCTGTCCACGACTATCACTAATGTGGAGGTATAAAAACGTGACTTGCCTTCCTGCCTTATTATGTTAGTTTCCTTTGAGCAAATGAAGCCCAAGCTGCCAGAAGACAGAAAGCTTACACTCTTAGAGAACCTGAGAGCAAGGAGGAAACATTCGGTGTACTTTCTTGACTTTAACTTTGATGAATTTGCTCAATGCTGCATATTTTGTGTGTCCAAATAGAAAGCCCTGAAAGTCTTGCTGGTGAACTCTTTGTTTGTTCTGACAGGATGATTTAGATTATTCAATTTAAGTTCCTTCCTATGTTTTTCCTACCCCCCTTGCAATGGCTCTGTGTTCCCCCGCTGAGAGCCACCCCACAGTTTGAGAACCACTGAGCCAGTGTCAGCAGTACATGTGATGCCTCTGCAGACAGCAATAAAACATCAACAAGCCCCTAATGAAATACTGCTGATTGACTTTTTATTCATTCTTGCAGACAGTGGGGGCTAATTATGTGTATTTCGGAAGAAAAACTTCAGCTCAGCTGTTCTTTTATTGCTCCACCAGCCCACAAACTCAGTTACCTATGATGTTCCACTGTAATATTATTCATTCTCACAGAAAACTGACTTTTCACTCCACCGAAACGCATTAAGGAACAAGAGAACAGAAATAAGTGATACACAAAAGACCTTCTATGAAAGCACTTCTAAATTAATGTGTAACTGGTTTCATATCCGATTCATCTAAATAAAGACGTCAGTCGTATTCAGCAGGATCTCATTCAGTTCTGACTGTGCTCAGCTTTTTTACAAAGACAAAAATGTAGAGTTAGGGACTCCCTTACATCAGCTTGTTTTACTGCTCTCTGAACAACAGTTTGTCACACTTAATCTACTCTAACATTATTCATTTGAATAAGCGGGGCCTTGCTTGCAGTCCATAACAAGCCAATTAGGACCAAACTGTCTTGAAATGATTCAGCAGTAATGTCCACCACTGAGGCATCACTCATGATGCTCAAAGCCTCTGTCCATATAAACAAAGGAACGTTTAAATATTTAATGTGCTGATACTGATAATAAGACACCGAGCTCAGCTGACAATACTGTCTTCCAGAGACTGTACCTGGCTGGATTTTGACACTGGAATAAACACATTAAACTAGAAGACCTAAAGAATCCAGTGGTACCACACATGTCATGCTAGCTTGTTTGGTAGGGGTTAAATAACACTCCCAATTTAGACTACATTTTGGCATGAGAAAAAACTGACATGGCCATTTTCATAGGGGTCAGTTAACTTCTCACCTCAAGATATCTGAATGAAAATGGTTTCTATGGGTACCCATGAGTCTCCCCTTCACATTCTTCCCCACTTAATGCTGGTCCCATGCAGTTTTGGGGCAAAAACCACTCAGTTTTTCAAACGCAGTACAGCTGTGTTATTTTGGATATGACTGGAGAGCTGAGACTCCTGTGGATTCAATGAGCCCAGTTTTATTCACATGTGATGATGTTAGTCCTCAAAGTCGCCATTTCATTTTAGTGAGACTGTTTTTTTGAAATTTGACCTCACTGTATAGAATGACCTATAGTGACCTCTAGGATTATCACAGCCTCATGGAACTTTACAGCTACAAACCTACAGTGGATGTATGGCGTTTATAGATATTCACAATAAGGGAATTTTTGAGCAGTTTCCAGAACAGAAGTGCTCGCCATGCAATCACTGAAAAATGCAATTCTTACAGAAATCTCCAAACGCCAAAGTTTTTCTAGTGTTCCTCGAGGCCTTGGTGCCTTAATGTCGTATTCTGGAAAGATTTTTGACATTTATTATTGGTCAAAAATGCAAATGCAAAAATGGTATTAATCCAAATATTGCTGCAACAACTTATGAGATATAATAGAGCACTGGAATAGCATCATATTCCTTGTACTTTCATTCATAATGGTCTAATTCACTACAGACTACACTTTCAACTGGTTTGAATCGACGCCTAACCCAAACACGTTTATCACATATGTATGACTAGAAAAACTTGACGCACAGTGCTGAGCTGCATCTTTAATTAATCTTCAGGTTTGCTGGTTTCAGATGATGTATAACACTTCTATATGACCTCTCCTGCTGACCTGTTCTCGCCCCATAAAGATTCCCTGTCCCTCCATAAAAAAAAGGTAAAAATGGGTCTGTGGTGGACTTCACAGGGTTAACCTGCCTTCCTGCACTTAAAACACTAATGTTCACTCACCTGCATCTCATCCAGCTTTGACTGAATATCTGGCGGGAAATCAGCTGACCCACAGGTGAACGGATCAAACGGCTCAGCCCCAAACAGGTCTTTCCCTACAAATGCAGACAGCAGATAAACATCATACAGACAGAAAAGGAACAACAGCTTCAACAGACAGTCCAGTTATGTTTCCCAGGTATTATGCTACAGATATTTAAAGTGTATTTTTAAAAGCCCTAATCTTTCAATTTTGCAGAATCAATCTTTCAGGAGCCAGACAAATAATGAAAACCTGTAAATCATACGATCAGAGAGTGACAAAGTAACTACTCACTTATGTCTGGTGGTAATGTGGTTGGTGGTGGTGGTGGGCAGCCATTACTGGCCATTGTGGGCACCAGTGGTGTCACAGGTGAGAAGGGAACCATGTCGAAAACATCTGTGGACTGTGGTTTCATGGAGATGCTCCCTGCCTGTATATAAAGTTGGGGAGATGGTTAAGCCGAGGTCAGGCTTGTGTGAGCTTGCTCACTGTCAAACTACTCAGCTAGTTTTATACAAAAGCAAGAGAAGAATCAAAGAAAGCAGAAGCAGGAGACACTGAAGCCTCAGGGTTAGCAACAGAGCACACAGCAGACAGAAAGAAAAAGCATAGGGTGTTTACGCGAGGCCGCGGGATGCTGCATCCCTCAGTAGGCTTAGGAGGAAGTAGAGCAGGTTTGGCAGGAGGAGGAGTTAGTAGCCCGCTGGACAAGTTGGACTCCGGCGAACTCATAGGAGTGAGTGTGACAGAGGAGATCTCCAGACAGGAGAGCGACTTGATGCTGTGACACCAGAAGAGAGCGGAGGGCCTCTGCAGCATGTACGCTTCATTAGCTGCGTTTATGTGCAGCGGCTGACAAAAGATGGCAGACAGACAATGAGCAGAGAGGGACAATATTATTCAGTCTCGTAGAGTGAGAGAGGTGTGGGTAATTGCATTCGCAGGAGGCTGTCAAAAGTACTGGCATTTGGCCTAATTACATGGTGAATGTATCACATTCCTCATCAGACCAATCAGGTGTGTAATTGCTTTGCCTCAGACACAGCTTAGACCCCCACAGTCTCCCTCCAGATAGCTGTGGTCATTCCAAACCTGAGTTTTAGGCAGTGCATTTAATTACAGCAGCAGTATCTGCAAACCCAGCTGCCTCGAAGAACACTTTTAATACTTGCATGCTTAAATTTGATAAACGTCCATAATTAAAAGATGGTCGTGGTTGTGTACTTTTGGCTGATGTGGAACATTTGAATCTCAAATGATTTGAGAGTCACATTACAGTGATAAGTGTCAGTTTGTCTGCAGATGCTGCAGTTAATGTGAGACTATGTGGCATTAGAAATTTGAAATAACCCAATATTTATCTTAGAAATAACTATATTCATAAGTAATTGCTTAGTTCAGTCCACTCAGCCGCTTTGCTGCTACAGCCTCATTTGGTCTGATACGATTAGTAGCTCATGGTGGCTAATGTTAGCTGATGTTTAGGTAAATATTGTAGCAGCTCAGACTCAGCTTGCTGACTTCATGACTCTACTCTACTTGTGTTACTGTTACATTAAGCATGTAACACTTTCATCTAACTGTGGCCACAGAGGCTGCTGTTAAGACGTTACCGAGACTTGCTTTGATATCTTAATATGTAGTGTTGGTGCAGTTTGTCTTTACTGGTGGCACGTGAGCGATCATCAGCTGCTCTTCAAGATCTTGAAGCTGTTGCTTCAGCTCAGAGTTTTCTGTTTCCAGTTCTTGAATCTGCATGAAAACAAAGGCAGTTCAGTCTTTTTAGAAGCCAGAGTACATTAACTTAATTGTAGTATGGGGTCTGATATTGAAACATCAACTATAAAAACCCAAGTTTTGAAGACATTCTCATATATATCTTATGAATTAGGTTGGGGTGGGTAACATCGCTGCATGATACTGTATACTGTCACAGTCCTGGGAAAACCCATAATGTCTAATAAAACAGGCCTGTTTTCATCTTTGTGGTTATGCATTTAATCTAATGGGTTATTAATTTTTTTTCCTAACCCCACAAAATGAACACTTAATCCTCATGCAGCTTCTTCAAATTTAATATAACCACATAAAAATATGTGGTTGCAGATAGGAATTTCGGCTTTTTATAGAATGAAATACTGAAACAAATCTTCCCATTGATCCTGACATATTAAAGACAGAGATGGTATAAACAGTCTGACAGTTGAAAAATTACCTTGTCTCATCATATATATTCATTGTCAACCCTTCATAAAAAATTCAGTTTAAGAAATAAAACCCAACTCAGGGGCCATTTATCAGCTTTTCTAAGGGTCTTATTCATATTTGTTAGGACATGTTGGAAGTCTTAAGTGTCATGGATGAAACCATAACAACTACTGAGCTCACACATTGATTGGTCCATCCCCAAGACAACCGAGCAATGCTTCTTATCCACTGACAAAGACTGTGTGATACAGTTGAAAGCTTCATAAATCCAAGTAAGTGAACCTTTGGTTGAGATTGTTTTGTCAAAGTACTATTTCCAAGGACAACAATGAACTTTGTTTAAATACCAAGTTGTTAAGGGGGAACTATGCCTATTTTCAAAATGTATACATGTTGTTCATATAGTATGATAGTCCAAAAACTGACTCCCTCCCAAATCCCAAAGCTAGAGTGCTGAAACTCAAATTTGTGAGGTCATAGGGTAATAAGTCTGAAGCTGCTCCACAGACAATGAATTGGGGAAGATGTTTTGACATCCTACATGCGCACATTTTTACAACAGTTTTCAACACCACAAAAGAATAAAACTCATTAGGGTATGAAAAAAAGAAAACAAAAATTGTGTGGGTCCACAGAAACAGGCTCTCATTCATTGTCTTTGGAGCAGCTCCAGACTTTATACCCTAAAGGCCAAAACACAGTGGCGGTGAACCCTTTAATTTTTAAAGTACCACCCAACGGCTAGATGCGCATTGCCACTCCTGGACACACTGTTCCGCGGCACTTCATGCCACTGTGCTATTTCCAGCCTCCTGGAGCAGCTCCCTTTCTCTGCTCCTATGGCAGCTCAACCTCTCTCCTCACCATGGATATATAGAACTCTGTAGCTGTTGCTGTGACTCTTGAGTGACAAAGAATGGATGAGGAGAGACTTGTTAAGGTTGAGAAATACCCCCAGCTAAACGACTCATAATCCTGTCATTATAAAGACAGTGACCAAAAAGAAAATGCCTGGTGAGTCATAACTCTGGAGAACGGCTCTTCAGGCAAGAAATCAACTTTAATTAGTGGGTGTCCACGCGTGATTTTCAGCTCATACAGAGGTGGAAGAGGTTACGATCTTTCAGTAACAGTAGTAACAACATTGTATGGTTGTCTGTTAACAAGCTGTAGCGCGACGTGTGTGTGCTATGGGTGGCCCGCGTGTTACTTGACACGCTGCACCGCAGCGGCACTGGTGTGTTTTCAGCTTAAGACATCGCAAGTTTAAGGCCATGTTTACACGAAAACGATCCACTGAAAACAGAACTGTTTCTCATTTTCATTTTGAAAAAAGTTCTGCGTTTAGATGACAACGTTTTGATAACAATCGCTGTGCACACAGATCTGCAAAAATGACCAAAAACACTGCAGTATACATGCCAGGCCAGTAGTTGGCGGTGTGACGCTTACGCTTCCTTCTACAGAGTGGCGATGTATAAACAAACAAAATGGCAACCGCACAAACGTTTGTCTGGACGGACGACAAGGTGGAGTTCCTACAGTAAAACTACACTATGATGGGGAAGCGTTGATAAATTCAACAGGGTGAGCAGCACAAGCAGAGCTCAGGAGTCCGCCATTGTTGTTGTGATGGTCGACTTTCTTGCGCATGTGATGGTCGACTTTCTTGCGGAAAGTCTCCGTTTTCAGAGGAATTGCATATTGCAAGTTCACATGACAACAATGATGGTGCCGTTTCCAAAAAATTGCATTCTGGAACCCATATTCAAAACGTTGAGTATTCAGGCACCCAAAACGCCACTGTCGTGTGAACGATCGGCCAAAACGCAACTAAAGTTTACCATTTTCGGTTGACATCGTTGTCGTATAAACGGGACCTTAGGTCAAGACTTCTCTGGTTTCTGGCTTTGAGAGAGAGTAGCTCATGTTCACAAATATTGACTGAACTTTGTTAGGCCATGGAAATAACATACTGGAATTCCTAATTTAGTTGGTGTTCCCCTTTAATACATTCATCTTTTTTTAAAGCTTTTTCCAGGTAGCCAAAACACCAAATAGATAGTCTAATAAATGACTGCAAATTAACCTTCAAATACATGTCCTGCTGGTGTTTAGCCACACACCCTGTCCCTTATTTAATCAAGTTCAAACAAATGTTCTAATAAATCACCATTTAACCAAATGCACTGGGAAAGCTCAACAGTTTCAGCAGGGTGTTGGGTCTGTAACAACAGAGCTCATTGATATTCATTACTGATATCCTCATCAACACAGCTTAATTGTCCACACTGCATGGTTTAAACCAGTCGATAGAAACAAGCCTTGCATTAATTAATAAAAATAGCAATGTGTCAGCATGGTGGTACAAGTTTTCAAAGTATATTAAAGACCATGTGAGGGTAAACAAGCTGACTCAACGTGACGTGAGACGCACTCTTTTCTGTAGGGATCCGATCTGTTTCCTGGTTTCCACATCTTTGCCTCCAGACTCCAGGAACTTCTTGTAGGCCAAGTCGAAGGCCTGACCAATGGTGAGAGTTATCTCTTCCGCCTGCAGCAGGGGAGCAACAAAGACTTGCTCATGATATTTGTCTAAATGTCACCGTGGCGTATGATGATGAAAGATGTAAAAATACCAAAGACATGAAGGCACAGCATCAAATATTGGACATTTACAATAACTCTAACATTCTGTATAATGTGTTCTACACTCTGTTTCACTTAAAAGATGACGAAGCAGGAGGCACTTACACACTTTTCACTGTCAAACACATAGCAGAGGTGTTTGTTGGACTCTGAGTCTTTGCAGATGAAAGTAAATATCCTTTTATCGGTTTTGTCATCTGCACAGAAGGATATCCTGTGTAACTGACAGTTATGCTGCACATCCTGGAAAACAAACACAACACATTCATTATTTATTCTCTTTGTGTTGACTACAACTCCCTTCTTTTTCTACATGGTCTTTGTTGTCAGTGTAACTTCAGGTGATAAAACACTGAAAAAACAACAAATCTTATTTTTGGACTCACTTTTGTCTTGGGATCTAGTATCTTCACGCCATAAATGGAGATCTGTAATTCCACTTTGGGGATCTTCTGACCCTCTGACTTCTTGATATGTCTCTGAAACTGCCAGTGAGACAAATAAAAAGGTAACATTGGATTAATACACATTATTAATGCAACATTATTTATAAGGAACACAACTGTACAACAGTACAGCTGGACGCCTAGTAACTAATCCTGTCAGAACATACACACCCACGTACACACCTTTAAAGCTGCCAACGTCTTTGGCCACTAGGGAGGAGCAGAACAAGCTGAAAACACAACACTGTCACCCAACGTTGCTAACTTAGCAACTTTCTTTTAAGACAGCTTTAGGAACTTAAAAAGGAAAACAAAAAGCGGCTAGCGACATGTCTAGCGACTTTTTGGAAAGATCTCCACTCTCTGTAAAGGAAGTCACCAGTATTTCTCAGTGAATGTGCACTTAAATGTCTCCCTGGACTGACTGTGTTCAGTGCAGGACAGAGCAGCAGCACGTTCAGTCAACCAATCGTCAGTCAGACAGAGATGTGAATGAGCTGTGAATGTATGTAATTAATGACCAATCACTGATCCCCACTGTTTGTATTCTAAATGCTTTAACTATCTAAAAAGCTTGATTTTGTTTTGTCTAAATAGACAAAGTTAACAATAGTGAAATTTTCCTGTGCATGATCATCTCTCTGTTCATACTTAACGGAGTCGCTACAACAGTCTGCATAAAACGTTTTTTTACTAATACAGGTAGAGTTTGATACACATTTTGGAGATGCTTAAAAAAAGCTAATGATATAGCTAATTTTAATTAGTTTAGGTTTAACTTAGTTTTCTTTAAATTCTTTTAAATCTTGCATATATGTATACATATTTGGGGTATAACAACACATGTAGTCTATTTCACTATATAAAGCTTTGCGTTCTGTACACATTACAAACCAAACAATATTCTTTACATTTGGAAATGAAAATATACATCTTCCAATACGTTTAATATAATGTTCTCGGTGCCACTGCGCTCAACAAGACAGTCCACATGACGGAACAGACAATATGCTGTCTGCCCCTCCCACCCCCAAAACAAAACATTCCAGGCAAGTCAAACACGCTGAGAGGCACGCTACGCTAAGCTAACTGTTAGCTTGTTGCAGTGTGGTTAGTAACGCCATTACCAGACCAAACAGAAGATCCTCCAACACTAGGTCACATCAGTGGGAATACCTCAGACATGTCCACTCATTTACACCAACATCGACCCAATATGGCAACTGGCAGAACCACAGACAAAAACAAGGGGCAACAAAGACGCTACATGCTACTGTTGGTATTGTTACATTTATAGCCGCAGATCAGAGACTCTGCTCTTAAAATGCAGGCTCTACAAGCATGCTTAATGTATTCAAGCCTAGTTACAGTACTCCTTCACAAATCCATTTCAACCAGGCAGTAATTCCTGCTTTGTACTAAAAAACAAAAGCCCAAATGTCAATTTTAATATATTTAAAGATTTAAATATCAAGGAAATGTCTCTGGCATTTCATGAACAGATTGCTTCTTTTGTTTGTATTTGTTAATAACTACAGTACTATATTTGGTATTTTATAAGGAGCTGTTTTCCTTTTATTTGCTGCTAAGAACACACCACGAGAAGATGGGTCACTCAGGTGTAGCTACATCACTGTTTAAAAAAAAACAAAACAATTATGATGTTAGTTTTAATAAATACATGAAATAAAAGAAGATTTAAAAAAAAAAAAAAAAATTCAATAAATTTCCCTGGCATTTGAACTTTTTTTGCTGTATGGAAAACGCACCGCACTGTGACACTACTGTATCGTATTGAACCGAATCTTGAATTTTTAAAACCGTTACACCTCTGATAAATATGTAATTACACTGTGTTGTCATAGGCATGCAAATAAAAACGTGACATCATCTAACGGTACCTAGCAATTTTTAATGCAGGATTTTACTACTTTAACTTCAAAGGTTGTAATGACAAACTTGCTAGCACCTAAATTTTTGATTTTCCATTCAACAGACACAGAGCAACATCCATCTAAAGTTGCATTTATGGCCATCTGGCATATTCAAGTCCAATATTAAGTCTCCTTTTAGCTCTGTTTTGGTGTCCACCAGCTCCTGAGAAAAATATTGGGCTCTTGAGCTGCTGAATGCTCCTCCAGCTTTGTCTATCTATCTGCTGTTTGGTGCTGAGCAGGTAATGTGCAGTGGATTCATGAAAAACAGCTTCAGTTGCTGCAGCTGGAAATGATCACCAATCACAGCAGTGAGACTGAACCAAAACAGTTTAGTTGAGTGCTGTAACACCTAAACAATGAGTTAAAAGAGCCTGTGACATTTGGTAGCGCTGAAAGGAATTGAGTGGGGTGATAATTCTCTGTTATTGGTCACCATGAGTGAATACTTTCAATATACAAACAGTCATTTGATCCATTGTTAATTAAAAATTATTGATTGGTGCAGCTTTAAAAGTACCACTTACATTTTGCACATCTTGAAGGTACATTTACTTTAATCCATTTGAAAAAAAGCCCCAAACAACAGAAAGTTGCTTGGGGAATAAAACTGCAGCATGTTCTTTTTTAAAGGGCAATGAGGAAATTATCATTAAGGTTAAGTGTTTTACAGAAGACTCGAGAGGATATTAAACGGATCTGAGATTCATTCAGTGGGTCACTCTTTCAAGCACTGCCAAAAAACGATTTAAGTCTTTCACGGTTATGTTGCCAACTGACATAAATACCAACAGGACTTGGCAGTGAGTTTAGGTCAATAACCAATGAAAATGTCTGTTAAAAGGGAAGTGAACACTGTCAGTTAAGGAGACCCTGTATCACTACACTTGAGGAAACTTGCAGGAAGCTAATAATACCCTACAATTATTTCCATTTTTGATATATCTATAAATATTAATGTTTAGGAAGTATCCACTATAATCATGAAAATGTAAGAAGATTAAATCTGCAGCTTTAACATTTGCCTGATTTCATTTTTCAATGCTGTGTGTGTGTGTGTGTGTGTGCCAATAAGATACTGAAGTATTTTCACAGCCTTTGACACACTGGCACTTTAATGCTTACAGTAAAGTGATGCTGTAATCCAGCCCTTGTAAGGCCTTGAGTTAAGCTTCTATAATTTAAAACATTTACTTTTCAGGGCCTGCAGACACAAATGTGAACAGACAAAGAGAGGGAACAGGATTGTAAGTGTGTGTGATATTTATCTTGCTTAAGTAAAAACACACATGGACTTATATTCTAACTGATATGAGACTACAGTATTTGACCTAAACTGTGGACACATGCCTTCCAGGGCTGTCTCTCAATTCTCCTCACATGGTCTTTGGAACAATAACCAAGCCTGTCCTGACTGCCAGTGTATCTGGGAGAGTAACCATGGAGCCTTGGTCTCCAAACAGGCTTTCAAGATCAAATGTAATGTAACAATAGAGGTATGGGTTTGGGAAAACAGTTCTCCCCTGAAAGTGGCCTCACAGATTCAACTCTTGGCAGGAGAAGACAGAGGCGAGGCCAGCAGGCAGCCAGTGGAGCCACATTACCAAGAAGCTGTGAGAAAGGAGAGTCTTTGCTGCACTTTAACCTTAACCCTTCAACACATGCCTCGGCTCTTCAGCGACCAGGGACTACACACCCTGTCTAATTTCATTTAATTGAAAACTTAACTATATAGAATTACTCAAACTATTTGCTTTTAAACTATGTTCTGGTATCAGATGTTTTGGTAAAAGAATCTCATATTTTTTCTCTAAAAAGTTTATTATTCAGGGTATGCTGGATGGAAGTGATACAAGTTTTTTCCTGTTTAGCCACATGGTGGCACTGTTGTCTCACTGTTACTATGAATAAACATTTAAATGATGGCTTTATATTAGCTTGCTTTCAACAGTTTGATATTGCAGGGATCTAATAACAGTTGTTCTGAAATGAAATGCTCCTGAGGTTACGGATGATGAGGAATGTACCCTACTTGTCCAGCACCAAACAGCAGACAGACAAGGTTAGTGACTAGCTGACACAATGGAACATTTAGCAGCTAATGAGACAGACCTTTCTCTAGAGCTGGTGGAGACCAAAATCAGAGCTAAAGCTGAAGTTGGCTAAGGGCCCTGACACACCAAGGTGATGGCTGGCCATTAGTAAGTGTCCGTCACCCTAGTTTTGCAGTGTGTCCTGCACTGTTGCCATCGTTTTACAGCTGATTCAGCACATTGAATCGGCGTCAAACCCCACTGAACTTGTCAGTGAATGAAATCACTATGATAAACAAACTACTAAAGTCAAGAGGGCGTGAGATCAAAATAAACGTGTTATATTAAGTAGGGTAAGGTAGGCTGCCATTGAGCTCTTTTGCAGAAATGATTTGCAATTGTTTTTGCTATTATACGTTGGTAAAGATGGTAAATATACATAATACCGGGTTGTGCTGTGTGTGCTAACCGGCTAACTAGCATCTTGAATCCTGTCAGTCTTCTGGTTTCCCTTTTTGAATGACGAACACAGACTACCACTTCCTGCCGGTATGAGTTATGTCCTCTCACACAGGCATAGAACATACTTGCTAGTTGGCTGTTGGCTGTAGCCATTGCTGTGGGTTCAAGTGCAACCTCTTGGCCAACACACAGAAACGTGAGGCGACACAACAGTCGCCCTTGGTCGCCACTAGTTCTTTGATGTCGGTTTGATGTATCTGGGCCTCACCACATTTGCCATATCAAATTTAATATATGTTTACATGTCAATGTTGTGTTTACAGCTTGTTACACTGCCCCCAAGTGGCCATAAAAAATGACTGCAGGTTTGAAGCAAAGTTTATAGTGCAACCATTTATATGTTGTTACAGCAAACAGTTGCCTATTTCGATATAGAGCCGACAATCAATGCATAAATTCGCAAATAATATAGCACACTTGTATTTACACAGGTGGTATGAACACTATAAACACGGTGTAACTTAATATTTTGGGATTATATGGATCTAAAAAAAGATGTATTTTTCACCATAAATATGCAAATATAGGCTCTAGCGTCTAATTAGATAATTTAATTCACACTCAAAACCAGCGGTCGGGAACATTAAGTGTCAAGAGTTTTTATGAAGTGTCACTGAGTTCTGTAAGTGTGTTTTAAAGTACCTGTGCTTTACTGAAGTGGCTTATTAAGTCAAAGCGGTATGTTGGTATTTCAAGGGGAAAAAAAGTTATGGTTGAAGGATTCAAGCTCAGAGTAAGAAACAACAGGCTCCATGGCAGATAAATATCGCTTTTATTGAATTCTGCATCTACCCGGGGAAGGTTGACTGAGCAAACTGCTGTGCTTATCCAGCAGTTATAGGCATCCACACTTGGGAGCTGAAGAACTCCAAGGGCACCTTGCTGCCGGTAACTGATGAGGGAGGGGAGCATTTGTCACTCACTCCCACCTCCCCTGCTCCGAGTCTCCTATCCAATCTGGTCACTCAAGAACACGCTCCTATCCTTCAGGCTACGGCTCACTTTGAGGAGTGGCTTTACCTTTAGCTTTCTGACTGCATCCTTCACAACTTCTGTGCCTTTCGGGGCTTCAACCTCTGTGTTTCCAAGGAACTGGAATGAGAACAAAAAGGCATATTATGATAAGACAGCGACTCAACAAAGACATATGCATTAAATGGCACATAAAGGCCACAAAGAGAAGCTAGAAGTGACTGTTATTTTGAAGTATGCTTTCATTGGAACTGATGAATAATTATTTCATAAATCAGGCCAGTAGGAGTAAACTGTGGAATAGTCATTTGGCAATAAAATTTATGAGAGCAGATTCTATCTGCATAAAGAAAGAACTCCTCTACATTTGCATACCAATCACAGGTGACATTTCAGTCGATATCATCTGGTATTTCCTATTCTAGCTTCAAATGAATGTACATTTTTATCAAATTATCCACACTCACATCCTTCAGAGACCTCAAATTACCATCTTAGACAGACATGTGAGGAATGCGTATATGGAAATGCACAAACAAACACACACAAAGACAGACATACACATACACCGGAGCAGCACTTCTGCCACTCTCCAACAGATGGAGCCATTAACCTTTGTGCCTGAACATGGTGTTTTCCATCTGGTGGCAGCAGCAGTAATTGTTCCAGTCACAGACACTGCTTCAGTGCCTCCTGAGCTTAATGTGTGTAGCCTGTTCCAATATCAGACTTCATAAACACTGGTGTCAGCCCCTTAAAGGTTGGGAAAAACAAAATAACAACACCTCCCACTGGGACTCAGCATAGAGAACTCAGACAGACATGGATTGCCTCGATGACACAACAGAGTCCGTGTGAAGCTCTCCATGACTTGGCTTTGCTAATGTCCAGTTAATCTTACCGCTTGGCTTGACAAATTGTTCTTGTATATAATTTGTATAGAATGGTGCTATAACGGATTGTCTGTTTCGCATTTGATGAACTTTGACATCAGTAACTTAAAGTCTGACATTTTGTGAAGCACCGTCTTGATGAAATATACAGAAAATAAATAATTAAAGGAGCTTTTCTTATGTTTGACTAATTAAACCTGCATTATATTTCTTTTATAAATAACAGCCAGTGTCTAGACAGAACCTTCAGCTTCTTTCCACATGTCTAAATGCAATGAGGCAGGGGCAACAATACAAAAATGGCAGTTATCAATAGAGCCAGAAGAAAGATTGAGGCCTTATACGAAAGTGTCAGCACTCTGCACCGGTGTGACAAATGTACTCCGCACACTTAAGGACATGTCTGAGAGCCCTGCTGATAGATGCCCGGAATAAAATGGAGAAGCACTTGTTCCTGACCAGCGCATTCTGGGACGAGGTAGACCAAGCTCGGAGGCTCATCCATCAACCAGTGCGTGCAGCTGAAAGACGAGCCACCCCTGACCCTCATTCCCCACAGTGAAGATTCACACGTTAGCTAAAAGGGGACTGTGCACCCTCAAATGCAAAAATCCAACAAAATATGCACACCCAGATGTTTCGACCCCGTGGCAGGTCTGAAAAGTTAATCGAGATGACACAACGAGGACTGAAAACTGCACTCAGTTCCACCTCATTGTCTATGCACAGTTCACTCCTGAGTGAAAGGTTCAATCATTTTTTTGGACACAATTTTAGAAAGTGCAGGATCTGTGTCATATGCAATTTAAATGACTTCTGAATGTGATATGACTGTTGATGCCAGACTTACTGAGTCCACCAGCTTAGGAAGTCATTTCTCAATATCTTCTCTCCTCCTGCAGTCTAGAGGTCAGCCCTGATTACAGAGGTCAGCAGAATCTCATCAAAAAGCACCAATAGCAGCTTTGCACCACAAATGCATGTGGACATCTTTGAAGAGAGATGCGGCAGAGTATTGAATCAGATGAGCTGTAGAAGTACATGTCGACAGTCTCTTATGTAATCTCACCTCATATGAACATAACACTAGTTAAATTCAAAACAGGTAAATGATATCTGGACTGACAAATCCTTGTTGCTGCTATTGTAGGGGTAAATGTTTGGCATAAATAAGAAAGTGCAGATCTGTGTGTGGAGGCTGGTGGTGTTGGAGGGTTTCTTAATACATATGTGACCCTCTAGCAATTTAAGATGCAACTGGCGATTATTTTCATTGATTACTCAGATGGATTATTTTCTTGATTAATCACTTTGTCGATAAAAACAGTGGAAAACGCTTATAACAATCCTCCACAACCCAAAGAAATGTATTCATGTAGCTTGTTTGATTCAACCAGCAGTCAAAACCCAAAGATATTCAGTTTCCTATTGCACATGACAAAGAAAAGCAGCAAACTTTTATATCTAAGAAGCTGGCACCAGAGAATATTTGGCATTTGTGCTTAATTAATAGCTAGAATGCTTGTCAATTATCAAAAGATAGCAATTAATTTCCTGTTACTCGCCTTATCAATGAATCAACTAATCACTGCAGCTCTAGTATCAGTGTAGCATAAAAGAAACACAGCAGCAAACCTGGGTAATCTTTTCACTGTGAAAGAGATAAGGGCTGGGAGATAAAAAAAATAATGAGAATTATCTCAATATCATGTTCCTTGATAGATATAATAAATCTCTGATATAATTAAACCACCCATTTGTCCGTTGAGAGGGGCGGTAATGTAAGTTTAATGCCAGTGTCCACCCATCATTTAACAGAAGAAGTTGCAGTAGTAGTAGTAGTGGTAGTTGTACTTGTAGTAGTTATAGTAGAAAAAGAAGAGGAAGAGGACACCGGCCACTTATGCATAATGTTCATGTTTTAACAGCATTCAACACATTCATGATTATGATGATTGTTTTGATCACAGATAACCGCACTGGGCTGCCCCACATCACACAACACTGGCTACAACGGCTGTGGGCTGTGGTGTCAATTCATCTAATGCTAATGGTAAGTTAGCAAGTTAATCGTAAGTGCAATATCGTAGGCAACTGGACTTGAAGACGTTTTGCCTCTCATACATGAACTGAAGAAGCTTCTTGGATGAGAGGCGAAACCCCTTCAAGAAACGCAAGCAAGTCCAGTTGCCTACGATATAGCACTTACGATTACCATGACCTGGATGACTGAGAATCTTCACTGACAAATTAGCAAGTTAACATGACAGACTAACCTGCTATTATCATTCCATTGAGATGACACAACATGAATCAAAGGTAACATGTATAAATCTTTTCTTCTTCCATAAACGTGATCTCTACCTCAGTCATGTCAGATAGATTTTCACCTGCAATATCTGACCCCATGCTACTTCTCCACGCCATCAAAGTCTGTTTGTGTTATTGATTTGATTGAGAAACAGCAGAAATTACAAACCGTGGGTGTAAAACATGTACAGAAAATACTGACCACAGCCGAAATTTTTCTTTTGTTAACACTAACCGAGCAGAGTTAAGACTTCTTTGTCTATTTATTGTTTTATTACAACTGATTACAATTGTTTTGAAGCTACCTCAGATTTGTGAAATGGTCTGCTGTTTTGCAAATGTTGTCATGTTCTGACAGTAATGAATAGTTCAAACCACAATTAAACATTTAGTTTCTTCAACTCTGACTGTGGAGCAAAAATCAGACTTTAACCTTGAAAGAAATAATGATTTGGCTTTGTTTGCGTGATAATTATAGATATCAACTGATATAACATTTTTGACATATTGCCTAGCCCTAAAATATTCTTTTTGGCTTTCAAGCAGGGCCGGAGCAAACAGCAAGAAGCGCTGGGGTTGTGTCAGTCCCCAAATCCCACTGCCTCCAATCTTTAATTTATCTTTTTTTCTAATTTGATTCATTCAGCTAGCTGTTCAATAACTAACTTTTTTCTTTTTTAATGGAGCAGTTTCAGGGGTTCTCCTGTCAAGGTTATTCCTCTGTAAAGCAACAACTGCTTCTAAACTTTGATTAAAAGACAATTTTTCTTATTCAGTTCTTATTTCACTAAATATTTAGTATTGCCTGTAAAATGAGGCATTTACATTTAAACAATTATTCAATTGTTCTCCTGAAAATGAATCTACAACCATTTTTGAGAATCTACAATAATATCCTACAATCCTATATCCTACAATATGAGGATTTGCTTCTTTTGTAAGTTTTATAAGATTAAAAATGAAATATTTTGGACTTTGGGTAGACAAAATCATTTCCAGAAGTCACCTTGGGCTTTTTCTGAGTCTTTTCACTACTTTCTGACATTTTAAAATGAACAATTAATTTATTCAGTGAAAAAATAAACGGTGATTTAACTGTAATAAAAATAAGTAATTAGTTGCAGTCCTAAAAGCAAAACTATTATTACACAACATGTGGATCTTAATGCTGTTTATATGACTGAAACTGTGGTTTTAAAATACTGAATAATTTTGTGTCTTTTTCTTGTTGGCCTGGAAGTAGTCAGAGGTAAACAAACAAGTCTAAAGGTACTAAAATTAATTTTAGGAGAAAAAAAAGCATATGTTTCTAACTGCAGGCTGTAAAATAGAGAGAACATGACCCTGGTGTTCTCATTAGTAGCTACAGCCCTGCTTTCTATGAGTCATGTCACAGATGATGCTGCATCTGAGCTCCATAAAGCCCTGAGGAAAACCTTCAGGATCAAGAGAAAAATAAAGAAAATGCAGGTTAGTTGCACCATCAAAGTCAAAATTGATTTAAGTTACAGTATTTTTATGACCTCTTTGAATCGTTGAATCAAATAATTTAAAAGATTCAGGCTTTTCTTGGGGATCCTTCTCTGTTCTAACTAGCTGGAAGATTGTGCAGTAAATTACTAACTGAGCTTATATTTTCAACTATTCGGAGTGCTTTAAACCAGGGGGGGAACAGGCCAAGCAGTCTCAGCACTTTGGCTGACTCATTCCCTCCAATTCCTTCAGTGATGAGTGGTGTACTCAGATCTCAGCAAATTTAGCCAGACAGGCAACTCATCAGTGAAAGCCGACAATATGCAGACAGTAAGGGAACTGACAATACTGCTTTGATTTTAGTGACGTGTCCTCTGCCAGTTCCGCCTGCTTCTTTGCTGCATACAGTAACGGAGCTCCAGCAGTTCGGGGATGCGGTAGTTCCATCATAACATTTCTGAAGCTCAGGATGCAGGCTGACAGATTCAGTGGCTCACAGGGGAGAAACTCTTTGTGGAAATGAAGCAGAAAACCCATCTGACAGGGAGGGAAGTGCTCCCCAAGTTAGACAGTCCTCCTTCAAGATGTGTTGGATATTGTGGAAAAAAAAAAAAATCTTTTTAAAAAGTGTTTTGTCACAGGCCATGTTTGGAGTGTGCCATTAAAATCCGAGTTCTTCTGTTGTCAGGACCAGTTTGGGCTGGATTTGACAGAAGCGTGAGTTACTTCACATAAACACCACACGCTCACACACTCATTAATAAATAAACAAATCAAGCGGGCTAGAAAACAGAGAAACTCTTTCAAATTAAAGTTTGACAAGTGCGACTCCTCCCATCACAGCAGCGAGGGAAAAACAGCTGCTCCAGAAGATAAATACTACAATATACATCAAAAACAGTTCGTACTGAAGGTGTGGTGGCATCCAAAGAAAATCATCCATCATTAAATACCCCAAAAATCACAGAATTCATAAATGAGGTAATTTTGAAATGGATGATGTAGTGCTTGTTTGGCTTCATCAGGTGCCCTGCTAATCAGCCAAACTAATTTGACGGACTTTCTGGCAGACTTTGAGCTACTGCCCTAAATGAAAGGCCTTGTTGTCTCTAGAGAAATGCATCATGGGACACCTGGACTGAGAAGCGTGGGTTTGTTAGGCCTGACAGAGAGCTGGAAGCAAATGTATAGGACCTTGGAAGCCAAAAATGGAGGGATTCTGTTTTGTTTCTGTATTTCAGTTTGGGCATTTCAACAACAAAATGCCTCTCTGCTCTTTTTGTGTTGAATTATTTAACAGTCACAAAGCTCTGTGTCAGTCTGATGGAGAAACATACCTTGGCATTGTAGGGTATGTAATGCTTGGCCAGAGCTTCCGGGGTGTGCATCCATGATTTATCTGAAATGATACAAACAGCTCACTAAATACAGCAGTCTGAATCAACAGTCTCATTTAATAGGATATGGCAGAGGTACAATCAAATACATGAGTGGTTAAATCTCACACAGGCAAACATGTGAGGAATATTAAACAACAAAGCACATATACACAACTTTAACATCACAGAAAAAGGAAGAGCTGAAGTAAACAAGAGAAATATGTAGAAGGTAGGCAGCTTCCAGAACCAAAGAGCAACATCAAAACTTGGCCTGATCAAAGCTCCTTATTTTTTCAGTCTTTATTTTGCAACTTTAGTTTCACTGAGAGCAACTTTCTTGTTCAGGGACTGCTTCACTCTCACACAGTTACACACAGTCACACCTGAAGGTTGCCCACAGTCTGATTTGTTGGTCACTGAGCAGCTTCACTGCACAGTTGGGGGTTATGGGACATTCTCAAGGGCACATTAAGAGTGGCAATTAAGCAAGGGGGAATGCTGCTTTTACTCCCTCGACCTCCTTTGTCCTGCAGATATGGTAATTGAAGTGCACTTCTCATAAATGTATTAAGGCAATTTCTTGGATTAATAGAGTACCTGGGCCTCGTTACAGAAACGTGTGAAATCCTATCTTATCTCAGTTTAAGATGATGTTTAGAATTTTTGGTATTACAGAAGCATTCCAAACTGCATTTAGGGAAAAAAATCATATCATATCATCTCATAGGAATCAAGGTATTACAGAACCATCCTAACTTCCCAAGTGAGGAATCCTAAATCAGGATGGCAAAATTAAATGACATCTAGAATTACTGCCTTGTGGTTGTATGTCTCTGTCTAAGTTTCAGTTTCCATCCATGACTGTCCAGACTCGTATGTTGCTGCAAAGAAGCCACAAATTTTAAAACGTAAACATTGCAGCACAGAAGATCTATACAATCACCACAGTTTAGACACCCAAGATTAGTGTCATCAATTTAGTATCTGACCAAATGTCTCCTCTTCTGTTCCTGAGATATGATGCTGAATACTGGCCACAAAAGTGTTTCTGAAAGACAATATGAGGTCACAGTGACCTTTGACCACCAAAATCTAGCCAGATCATCCTTGTGTCCAAGTGAACATTTGTGCTAAATTTGAAGAAATTCCCTTAATGGGAAGGACAGATGGGCGAATGGATAGACAAATGAACCCAAAAAATGAATGCCTTTGGCCATAGCTGTTGCTGGCAGAGAGTCATAAAAATGGCAGCAACACTGTTGTTATATCTTTATGACAATGAAGATGGGGAACAACAAGTACACAGAAATGTCATGACTGAAAGTCTACTCAAACCATACAATGATGCTTTAAATTTCTCGGACCATGTATTAATGGGTGTCTATCAACTGCCAAAACGATTACTTTTGATTTTATATTAATTTTATACATTTTCTTATAATAATAAAAGCCGCTGACTGTCTTTTTTTGTCCACTGACAGGAAGTGAGAGCAGTCAATATCATGGCTTGTCCATTTTGAGTAGCCAACCGGTACATTCTAATCAGAGATACAGGCATGACAGGACGAGTGCAGACTGAAGAATGAACATCACAGTTACAGTTTGGATTTCCTCAGTGAAGATAAGGAAGGAGGTCCGAGAAAGGATAGGACACAGCCATGAGTTTTAGAATTGCTTCTGTAATAGGAAGATTGGATTCTTCCTATCTTTGAAACTTAAGTTAAGATAGGAAAAGCAGTTACAATATCTCTCTGTAATGAGGCCCCTGCATTCTAAAATAATGGAAAGATGTGCATGGATGCAAACAGATGTGACTGTGCGCCACATGGTGCAAATTAAAGGTACCCTGTGGAGACCACTAGTAGTGCTACTGAGTAATAATTTTATTGTGCACACGCACAATGACAACACAAATTCCTGCCAATTGCTGATAGACAGCCAGTGAGAGTAACATGTAAAAAAGTGTAGTAATGATAGTGAACAAGTAGACTGCTAGCTAAGAAACATTAATGTAAATAATGTGCAATTTAGAATATTAAAAAAAACATCAGCTTTGCATGTTTTATAAGGAAATATGTTTGACATGTTTTCCAATGATGCGTTTCTGTGAAAGGCTGAACATAAACATTTTAATGAAAAGTTTGTGCTTGTAACCAAGGCTGTCATAAGGAGAAAGAAAGACACTTTGAAGACCACATCAATGCTAAATGAGCAGTGGGTCAGGGGTCGTTTCAGGTCATTAATGGTTTTTAGCATTTCTTAATCATCCCCTGATTAAGCACCCCTCTCTCACTTCATTTCCTTTTCATAAACGGCTATCGCCCTGTTAATGAATCCTGTGACAAAAGACGCATGACTGCGACCTTGGGGGCACTCAACTCCTGTAGGTTGATTGCGTTAATCAAGACTTTGCAAGGTGCAAACGATGTGAATCAACTTCAGCGTGTCCTCTGCGCAAGTATGCTAATGACTTTGTTTACATTGATGTTGTTGGCTAAGTGGCTTGATGAATTCAAAGTCTATTCTAATTAGTGTTCATTTGGTGCTCCACATTTGCTTAATTGTGATTGCTTATGTTTGCTAATCTCCCATATTACTTACAAGGAAACCAACAGGCTTAGTCTTGACTTGCAAAGGAAGTCGTGTTTACTTCTTCCGGAAATCAGTTTGGTGGCAGGAAGTAAGGAGACAGGGGAGGCAACCTCTAACACAGAGAACTTTGTTTTAGTTTTCAGACACTGCATGGTCAACTGGGAGCCTTTTCCTCTACTTACATTGTCCTCCTTTTAAGTTTACTTAACAGCTGTGCAATGAGATTATCCCCGCCTGCACCTTGCAACAGTCTCCTCCAAAGTGCAATCAATTTCCTAGTGGGACTCTTGAATGAGAGTTGATAGAAAGATGAAGTATCTCCTCCTTTCTTGTGCAGCTAAGGAGGCTTATAAACTGTAAATTCCAAGAAAGAGGATAGAGGAAGAAAGGAGGAGAGTGGTGAGGGCTGACACAGCTGCATGGCAGGTAGGCTGACATTTTTTCAAGGCGTCAGCACACACTGTTCTGATTAAAAGGAGGGAGGGTGAGGGGGAGGGAGTACATACTTCTTTCTCTCACTTTGCTGCATAAAATGGCAACTATGTGAGCACACAGAGAGCGGCAAAAGTTACAAGCGCTGTTCCGGGTTGCCAAAATGGAAGATGAACTGTTGGGGCGTGAGGATGAGCCGTGGCATCTGAAGGTCACTGTGTGTGGTTGACTTGTCAGGTGTTGGATGAAGATGAGGGAAAATTGAAGGGATGACAGTCTGAAAAGTGTCCATGCCTCTGTGTCACACTGTGGCGTGCTGCATACATGTCTCTGGAGACAGGGGTTGCATTGCTTCTCAGAGCTCTCCTGTTTCCTGCAGGACTAGTTAGGATGTGTGACAGCATAAAGGTCACATGTCCTTCATGCGTGTTACACTCCAGCGACGAGTAATAGCTGCCTTCACCGTTCCCCTGTCACATCATGGGCTTGGCTCTCTCTGAAAACGGGTATTTTGTCATTTCCCATCCAGTGATTACAAATAAGGGAGGTTGTGACTATATAAGGCTCACTGTTCTTCTCTCTCTCCCTCTTTATTTATCTTGTTTAAAATTCTACCTGATCTATTGGCAGTCCGAGGACTACAGCCTACAGTGCCTTCCACAGATACCCGCTCTAATTAAACAGAGCAGACAGATATAAATGGTTAGCCGTTTGGCATGGCAGAAGGAAAACAAAAGAAACAATGTGTACCTTTAGTTAACAAGGGAGCCTCATTCCTTAGCAATGCAAATAAAAAAGGCTCTGGTGGCTCTTATCTGCCTCCGCTGCAGATTACACAAATGCTTCAAAACATTACTGTATTCACATGTTTTGGTGAGCAGCTCACATGAGCAGCAAATTACAATAATGACATTTTGCCACACTATGACTCGGGCAGTAGTATTCCTTTTAAACTTACAATACATTTTATATTGCAAAAATCTAAACTGCAGGGCTAACAAGCATTTGTACAGTGGTACATGCAAGGAAAAGAGACCACAAGTCCAGCACACTGTGAAAATTTGTGGATGTATTGATGGTCTGATCTATTAGACCTTTATCTCAAACCATCTCTCCTTATCTACCAGCTAACAGCTGTTCTTCCCTTTATCTCACATTCTCCTGTTAATCCAGGCAAAGAGTCTCCACAGCCAAAGAAAACAAGTACTTCAAAGTCCTCCACAAAAAGAAATATAAAAAATAATATGTATTATAACATATCATTCTTCACTTTTGAAGATACTGTAAGTGAGATAATATTTTACTGACAAAAAAACATGTACCAAAGATCAACAAAGAAACTTTCAAAGACCTGATATGCTTCAGGAACTTTTCTCTCATAGCAGCTACATTTTGCAAATTATTGTCTCGAGAAAATGGGTTTGGCATCTTATCAGTTGACGATCAAATTAACCAAATTAACTAACTTTTTCGTCTGTCGTCTTACGTCTGTTCCATTTGCGTGGTTACTTTCTTTGTAGCACATTATGATTTGTCACCTCACTATGTGCACGACTTTTGAAAACAGGTAGTATACTAATAAAGTATCTATTATTAGCAATAACTGATTGATTTATTTTAGTATCACGCACACAAACAGGTGCCCAACCTTCATGTGTTTACAAGACACCATTACAGTACTGTTGCAGTGATCAATTCAAACTACATGTTTTATAACTGCTCGATATACCAGTTTTTAAGGTATACCGTGCTATAAAAGTTGATGGTTGTCATATTGTTTGTTCAATCAAAAATAACCCTTCCATTTTCATTCCTTTAAGGGTCATTCTAACTGATAATAAATAACATATTGTATTATTGTATCATGAAATTTTCATACCTTTGCAATCCTACTGCTCAGTTCCAAACAAAACACTTCTATCCGAGGCCCGGCAAATAAAATCTGCCCCCAAAAATGTTCCTCTTCTCAAACGCAGCTCAAAATTTTCATGGTCAT